TTGCTGGCACTTTCTGCATCACTGTACCAGGGATACGAGGCTGAAGAGGAGAAAAGGAGTGCTTGGCTCTCTATCCACAGTGTTATTCCCATCCTTTTTCTCTTTTGGAAAAACTGTTTAGACAGCAACAGAGTGAGTTCTCCTGTGGTATTGCAGCTTCTTACACTCTGATGTCAAGTCTCGTCTGCAAAGGCCAGCATCTCTGTGGAAATGTGATATTCACCTGTGCTGAAGAGGGGTTAGCTGAGTGTTCAGATGCTTGATATTATCAAGAGTCAGCTAAAACAGATGTTTTCATAATCTTGTTTCCAAAGCTTCTTTGATATTTTGAAGGGCCAGGCTGATGTAATTCTCCTTTGCATCACCTAAGTAGTAATAACAACAACAATAACAGATTTGACTACTTTTCAGTATTCAGTATTTTTCAGGTGGAGCAGTTTGACTTCCCCACCTCCCTTTCCATTCCAGTACGTGCTTCCTGAATCCCAGCCTTCCTGCTGACTGAAAGTGCCTTCTCCATCACCCTGTCAGGGAGAAAAGCAGAAGAAAATGCAACCTGATAGGAAACTAACACAGCTACTTGTTTGGCTTGTTTAAAAGCCAGACTCATGACTCAGCCTTTACCTTTTATGAGTCAGGAAATTCCAAGGTATCCTTTTTTCTTTTTGTTTCCCCTTGTACTTTTAGGCAGAGTCTGATCTCCCTTATTACAAGGGAAATCCACTACAGGCAAGGAGCTATTCCTGCCACACTTTTGCAAGAGAGGACTGCACCCATCCTCCCTGAGCTCTCCTTCTGTTCTTAGTAGTCCCTGTGTTCTTTGGCTGGTTACAGTCCTCAGTAAAAGTGCCAGACACATCAAACAGGATAAAATAAATCAATCTCTTTCCCAGTTTATTTATTCTAAGAAGACTGTAAAATGGAGTCAAATTGAGAAACCTGTTTATGAGGCTGAGAGGCATAAGGGATGTATTGAGGAAGGAGTGATATTAAAGCATTAGCCTAACACAGTCAGAGGTCTCGACAGGGTTGTGCTACCTTTTTCCAGTTCACTGTGAGTGACATGGTTGCAGAGTGATGGATAGCAGCATTCACAGACATAATGTCCATAGAAAGTGAAAGGTAAAGAGGAAAGTCATAGAATTATAAAATTCAAGGTCAGAAAACGAATTAGATGCAGAGAACTAAAAGCAATGTGGCTTCCTTGTTTTATTGAAGAGGAGAGTCGGCAGTGATTTATGGAACCCTTGCATGTTTATATGTTGGAAGAAGGTGCCAAACTCTCATCAGCCAAGCAGACGTTGGCAGAAAGATGAAACCAGCAAACTCAGACTGAAAATACGGCACAAGCTTTTAAAAGTGAACGTAACTGAACTCATCAAACATGAAGTGGATTTTCCGTTGTTTGAAGATCTGAAATTGAAGTCTTTGAACTAGACAGAGAAGTGTATTTAGAGCCTCCGTTTCCTGGGGTCAGTACCAGACTCCTCAGGATCAAACCACATGGAGGATTGCAATGATCTCTTTCAGCATTGTCATCCATAGAGGAATCCAAGAGCTCACAGAAGCCAAGGTGTAGGCTGCTGCCATCACTGAGTTCAACAAGGGCCTAAATGTCCCTCTCATTTGAGATTTAATGAAACAATCCTACACCCAGTCACACCTGTAAATGCACTCATGTCCCACATCCACACAGGAATCACTATCAGAAAGGTTTGCTGAGGCAGCTGGATGTCTCAGCACCCCTGCCCTGGAGCTGCAGGCCTGCTCCTTGATCCCTGTCTCATCCAAGCTAAGACAGAGTGTCTGGTTTATGACTGCCATGTGACAAACTCTCACAAACAATGTGAGATGGGCTGTGGAGCTTCAAACAGCCAGATGTCCACTCTCAATGTCTCCATTCTTGTTGATACACTTGACCACAGCATATGCTAAGGAATTCACTAAGGGCAGTGAATTATGCAGTGGAAACAGTCAAAGAAGACTGAGATAACCAAATGGTTTTTTGGGAAAAAAACCCAAACCCACATATTGCCATTTCTGATGTAATTTTTAAAGTCTTCTTTCCCTTGATGTTGGGGTCTGATAACCCAGGAACTTTGAACTCTTGTTCCTCCTCCATTTCCAAAACTACTTTTGCTAGTCCTACTATCATGGTTCCTTCATTTCCAAGCCATTAATTACAATTTGTATAAGATATTAGCTACCAACTTTACCTCTGAGCCTATTACCCAAGGCTAATCCCTCTAGCTTCACCCTTTTTTTTTTTTTTTTTTCCTGAAAGGTCATCGCACCTCGGTCATAGGAATTACACTCTCAAAATGCTCCTTTCAACTTCATGGAATCACAGAATATGGTGAGTTGGAAGGGACTCACCAGGACCATCCAGCCCTACACAAGACTATCCCCAAGAGTCACACCATGTGCCTAAGACTGCTGTCAAATGCTTCCTGAGCTCTGCCAGCCTTGTGCTGTGATCACTTCTCTGGGAAGCCTGTTCCAGTGCACAACCACCCTGTGGGTGAACAACCTTTTTCTAATATCCAACCTAAACCTCTCCTGGTAACTTCAGGCCATTCCCTCAGGTCCTGTCATTGGTCATCACAGAGAAGAGATTAGTGCCTGCCCCTCCTCTTCCCCTCCCAAGGAAGTTGTAGACGGAAATTATGTCTTCCCTCAGTCTCCTCTTCTCAAGGCTGAACAGACCAAGTGACCTCAGCTGCTTCACAAATTTTTCAGGGATTTGGACTCCAAAGTCAGGCACTCAGAGTTTTATCCACATGCAGATGAACATCAGCTGGGTTTGTTCTAAGCTCCTCAGCAGACAAAGAGAATCCCTGTGACTGAATGTTGACTGTGTACAAGGAAGGATGTGTGTTGGTGACAGTGGGGTGAGAGAGAAATATTGAAACAGAAAGAGGTGGAATGAATGAATAGAAGAGGAACTGAGGAAAAGGAGGGAAGGATATAGAGGAGAGAGAACAGAAATAGCCCTGAGAGAAAATACAGTCCCCAGCCTGGTCTTTAGGATTTTGAGTCCTGGGAAGGGGCTATAGTAGGGGAGAAGGTGCTGGAGGAGGAAGACGGGATGTGGCACTTCCTTTATTTTGCAGCCAGTTCTGATTGAGTCATCTCCCAGGGAAACTGGGTATCCACACTGTCACACAAATAATCTGTTCTTCTAGGGCACCCTGATCCAGCTGGTGTAAAACCATTAAACTGCCCATGTCACATCATGCAGCACAAAGAGATTGAAGTTGCTGTGAGAACAGGTGGTACTGGAGCACAGATTCTTCACCCTCCCCATCCCACCCACTGTCAACCACAACCTTGAGCATTCAGTTGTGCCAAGTCTGGGGAGCAAATTCCATCACAGTACCAGCCACCCAGGAGGGCTGGGTTAGAATCATAAAATGGTTTGGGTTGGAAGGAACCTTAAAGTCATCTAGTTCCAACCCCTTCCCATGGACAGGGACGCTAGACCAGATTGCTCAAAAACCCCATCCAACCTGGCCTTGAACACTTTCAGGGATGGGGCATCCACAACTTCTCTGGGCAACTTGTTCCAATCTTTCACCGCTCTCTCAGGAAAGAATTTCTTCCTAATATCTAATTTAAACCCACCCTCTTTTAGTTTAAAGCCATTCCCCCTTGTCCTGTCACTACATGCCTTTGTCAAAGTTTCCTCTCTTGCTCTCTTGTAGACCTCCTTAAGGTGCTGGGAGGTGCTATAAGTTCTTCTCGGAGCCTTTGCTTCTCCAGGTTGAAAAACTCCAACTTTCTCAGCCTTTCCTCGCAGCAGAGATGCTCCATCCCTCTGATCATCTTACTGACTCTCCTCTGCACTTGTTCCAACAGATCCACATCCTTCTTATGCTGGGTGGCTGCTTAGGTTGAGTGTTAGGGAACACAACCTGGCACACCTGAGTTCCTGGAGGTCACCAAAACAGAGCAGAGGTTAAGGAAACATCTCAGTTCTAGTTTGGCAATCACTGCCCAGCTCTGTCACATCAAGCAGAAAGATTTGACTACTTTTAAATTTACCTTGACACTTCTTTTAGCCCATGACTCCGCTCTGTAGTTTAAGACCTGTAAAGCTGTTTAACATGATTTTTCCTCCCTTTGAAAATACTAATTTTCCTTATACTATTCTATTTCAGTTTAAGGATGAAAGAGACTTTGAATTCTTTCAAATTCAGATTTAGAAGAATGACAGCAAATACTATACCTGCGCCTGGGTAAAAGGAGAAAAATACATCAGAGATGCCCCAGCTAAAATCAGGATATACATTAACAGGGATACAGGTGATCAGAGAGTTTGGGATGGGGTTTGAGTTCAGAGTGGGATTTGCACTCCCGTGTACCTGGACAAAATTTTTTATGCCCACTGCTGGCACAGGATAGAAGTGTGATTTGGCCCAGGAGCTGATGCACGCTCCCAAACACTCCACCAAAATCATGGGAGGGATGTGTGGCATGGCATGGGATTGGTGATCTAGGGTTCCTCTGTAAAGAGAGGAGTCCTGAGGACACTCCTAGATTGCATCCTGCAGCGTGTGCTTGCAGGGCAAATATCCTTTTGCTTTTCAAATGAAGCCACTCATTTCTAAAAATCAAATAAATCACACATCTGTGTGTATTTGTATACGTGTCAGCTCATTAATCAAAATCAGTAAAGCCAGATCAAACATTTCTTGCTGTACACTGAAAGAGTCTGAATGTCATGAGCAACATGAGGGGTGAGCTGTGAGCATTTCAGAGCTGTGCTAAAATCGCAGCGTGTTGGACCCCGGCGCGGCAGCTTTCCCTTTAAGAGCCCTTTGGCTCACGGCGATGCACTGAAATGCAGGAGGTGGGACAACACCACACACAAAAATGAAGAAGTGAAGGCAGGAAAAGTTTCTCCAGAGGAAAAATGCAGGGCTTGTCCTTCACCGTGACGTCAGATCTGTCTTTAATAAAATCCCCAAAGAGCCAAGAGAAAAAGGCAGAGTGCCTAGGCTAGGTTGCCAGTTCAGGATTGCTCTGCATTCCCCAAAGTGGTGTTTTTGTTCAAAACGGCTCTAAATCTGGGTTCAATCAAATGTATTTAATCCCGGCTTCCAGGGATGAGGTGGCTTTTGCCCTGGATTCTAGCAGCAAGCAGCATTTTGCAGGTGAGTTTGGAAACTGCAGGAGAGACTTGTCTTCTGCAAACACACCTGGGTTTAATGTAAGGTGGGCAGGGAGATCGGTGAGTGCGGTGCATGTGGGAAGGTGGGCACTGGCAAAATTTGGAGGCGTGGGAGATGTGACAGTAGGAAAGGAAAGGTGAGCTGTGGGGGAGAGAAGGAAAGGGAAAGGGAAAGAGAAAGAGGAAAAGGGAAAGGAAAGGAAAAAGGAGAAGTGTGCAGAAGTGTCTCAGAGTTGAGCTCTGCTCAGCATCCAGGTGTACCTGCACAGAAAAATGTAGGTTGGGGGTTTTTTTGTTTATTTGGTTGGTTGGTTTTGGGTTTTTTTATTGCTACTAGTTGTATCGTGGAGCAAAAGAAGTAGGAAGAGATCCCCCGCTGCTGCCTGAAGCAGTCAGGCTGAGGCTGTGAGGGGACCGGGCTGGAGGGGAACGGGTGGCGGTGCCCGCGGGGGGCCGGGGCCGAGGCAGCCCCGGTGCCGGTACCGGGACGGGAGAGGGGTCGGGAGTGGGGCCGGCAGCGGGGCCGGGAGATGCCGCGGCCACTCCAGCAGGTGAGGAGCGGCTGCCTCTGCCCCGGGCCCGGAGAGGGAGGAGGGTTTGTTCCCCCTCCCCATCTACTGGAGCTTCCCTCTCCACGCAGCAGCAGCCGCTTTCCTTCCCCTCCTCAGTGGAAAAACCTGTCCGGGGAAGCCGCTCCTTTTCCAAAGGTGCCGGCGTTTTGCTTTGCTTTTTCCCGGTGCGTGCTCGCAGCTTCGATGGAATTCTCGGGACAGAGGGAATGTCCGTTTCTGTGATTAAGAGCTGCCGTGGGAAGGGGGTGAGGCTACGACGGGAGCGAGCAGCGCCTGTCCCCGGCGGGGCAGCGTTCCCGTGCCCCGCATTCCCGGAGGCAGCGCTGGACGCAGGGATCCGTGGGAGTCCCGAGAGCGAGGGGGATGCTAGGGACTCATTTGGGCTGCCCAGCTGAAGGCCGGGGAATTTCCTGAACCAGACACGTTGTAAACTGTGTCTGAGCATCCCCCTGCTCTGAGTGGGGTGACATCAACTGCTCTGCTCGGGGGATTTTGCTCGGAGGGGTTGCTGGCACCAGGGGTTGCCTTGTGTGTTGAGAGATAAAGCAGTGCTTTAAGACAGGAAAGTAGCACGGGTGATGTGGCACACCAGGCACACCTGTGCGAGAGCAGATGGCACAGAGATAAGTCCTGTGTGGATGCTGAGATGGACTGATAACGGGGCGTCCTCTAGAAAACAACCACAACACAAAACTAACAACAAACAAACTGCACCTCCTGGGCTTTCTGAGGGAAGTTGGTTCTTACCACAGCTGATTTTTGTCCAGCAAGTAAAAAATCACACAAAGGGAGTCGTCCACAAACTCCCCAAAAACTGTTACTAGAGGAGATCTGTGTGAGCCTTGTAAACTGTACAGTGGTTGTCCTGGGTTCCCTTGGTATCAGAGGTGTTTGTAAAAAAAGCTGCTGTAGCATGAAAATATGTGAGTGGATGCAGGCACATGTGCCTGCTGGGGATGGGAGGTGGTGGTGAGGAAGGGAATGCAGTCCTGATATCCCTAGCAGCATGTTTGGTCTAAAGAGTATCTAAAAAGAGTTCAAAATGCCACCAACAGTAGCCTAAAAAGAGTCCTGGATCTCAGCAATTCCACTTCCAGCTCTCCACTGAACTGAGCAGGTGAAGCCATGCCTCCCTGGAGCATTCAGGGACACTGTCAGCTCCCAAACAGGGATTGACCTTAGAAGGCTGTATTTAGAAGTCCCTGAGTAGGGACAACTTTTCCCCAGTAATGAAGTGTTTTCCTCTGAGTCTTCTCCACATCTGAACTGGGATGTGATGGAGGGTTGATAGGCTGATGAAAGGGAGATTTCTGTCCAGCACTCATAAGGGAGTGGGGAAACAGGGATGAAAAAAGTGTCTGGCATAGATTGGTGAGGGGGGCTGGGGACAGAATAAATGGGAGGTAGAATTTGTCTGTGTAATACTTAAAGGACTTTCGGGAGAAGAGCAGGCTTAGTTTGATCTGCTTAAGGGGGATGTCTAAAGGAACAAGTAATATTGCAATTAATGTGGGATACTGTGGATGTTCAGCTGGCATGGCCACCCTGCTCATGAGATGTTTTAGGAAAGTCATGAGAGTCATAACAGAGGGGTGCTGGGAAAGCTCTAACACTACCCCACCTCATTGTCCTTAGTGTTTATCTTTGCTGGCATATTCACAAGAGTAATAAAGATCTTTCCAGTGCTTCAGAGACATCCATGGAGTGGTAGCATTAAGTCACTGTGCATATTGTGCAAAGCCTTGTGGTCTCCCTGGGGACTTGTCACTCTTTATGGATGAACCATGGATGGGAAAAGATGCTCCACTGGGAAAGAGGAAGGTTGACTATCTGGGATACATATCTTCTTGTTCCAGGAAGAAATGCACAGGAGTTAATATGGGAAGGTCAGGCAGACTTTCAGAATGCTTTCTGAAAAGGCATTTCAGAAGGCAGCTGTCAGGTTAAGCATCCCCCAGTACTGTATGAAGCTACAAGCAGTTACTGAGTTCTTGAATAGTTTTCCAAAAATGTTTGGGGTTTTTTTTAGATTAAAACTGCACAGGTGATGGACTTGTGAAGAAAAAAAATAACTAAGCATAGCTGGAATTTCAGGCATAACTTTTCAAACATTTCTTAAAATACTTTTTTTTTCATAGATATAAGGGCAGAGACCATGGGAGCCCAAGTCCTGTCAACTAAGCTGAGATTCCTCAAAGCCTGAGTCATTTTTGCAGCAAGGACTTTAAGGCTGGATGTGTTGGCCCCTTTCAGTGTTATACACTGAGGAATCAGAGCCAGGATCTTCAGCCTCTAGTCCTGATGATTCAGAAGAAATGAGACCATTTGTTCAGATGGGACAAAATGTCCCAAACCAGGGTGATGATTAGAAAAACAATTCTGCACTTAGTAGAAAATTAGTAAAGGACATTAGATAGAAAGAACAGCATTGCAGGTTTCTGAAACATTTGAAGTGGAGAAATGGGTGGTGTGTGGATCTAAAAATATAAAATAAACAGTAATAGGGTGAATGCCAACCTGCAGACTTTTCCTCAAATAGCAAAGAGTGGTGTTGCTCTTCATCGCATTAACTAGTAGGCAGGTATTGACTGCCATATGTGATGGTGCACAGACACCAGGCTTTTGGCTTGGGTGAGCGGGAGGAAAGAAAGAGATGTTCAAAAATGGTTTTATGTAGACATCATCTCCTCTGTGGGCATGTAGTTCACTAGATAGTTACTGATAATGACCCAAGCTCAGGCTGTGTGGAAAGTGGTTTAAAAATCATAATGTGTGGGGTTTCCTTCTTTGTATGAGATTTATGTTTACAGATATAAAGCCAAGAATTTAATTTGTAAAATACTTGGATTTGGTAGCAGGAAAAAATGGTTACTTTTCATTGGGCTCTTCCAGGCAAAACCACATTCTGACTGAACATAAACAACAACAACAAGAAGAACAATAAAAACACACACACAAAAAAAACCCCAAAAAACCAACCAACCAAACAAAAAAAAAAAAGAAAGAAAGAAAGAAAGAAAGAAAGAAAAGCATAAAGAAAAAAACAGTTACTCCCTCTTGCCTGGAAAAAATCTGTGCCTCTCCGGGGGAGGTGAGCTAAGGTTTACCTGTCAAGTGCTTCTTATCAGAAGGCTACATATTTTCAGCATGGCTAATGATGCTCAGATAATCTCAGGCAGCACAGGTTCAAAGTTGCTATGTCTTGTTCCTCTAACCTTCTCACCATTCCCTATTGCTTGACAGCATCTGGTTGCCAGAGATGGGCTGGATACACTTCTCTGTAGAAGGGCTCTTATCCTACTCTTCCATAAATTGTAGGTGTCAATTGAAATTGCTCTGGTTATAGAAGCTGGAGATCCAACCATGAAAATTATCATCCCGAGATTTGAAACTGGCAGATAGAGTTCCCATGGGTGTGGCTGCATGGTATATGGGGCTTTCCCAAAGCTGATATTTTTTTATTTGGCAGTCCCCCCTCACACATCCACTGGAAGAATGAAATCATTGCCAAGGCAGCATCCTGAAGGTAGCACTGAATGTGTTCCATGTGGATCAGAGGCCCAAACCCAAACCTGTTTCTCATGAAGTTACCTCCTAAGTACACAAACATGAGTATGTGAAGTTTTAGCTGAGAGAAGCAGGAGTTTATGCAATTTCTTCAAAACTTCTCCTACTGGTGTCTGAATTTGCTTTGGTAGCCATCAGCTGCCAGTGTGCAACAATCTCTTTGCCAACATCAACCACAACAGAGCTGGGGACAGGCATTGGCTTCCTCATCCTCCTTGCAGTTGTGCCACTGCCTGTTTGTGTACCCTGTGTCTGTCCTTTCTCCATTCCATACTGCAGCACCAGCCTGCAGGTGAAGCTTCTCCAGGAAAAGGCATTATTTACGAGTGACAAATGTGGATTTTAGAAAAAATGTGAGATCTATATGATGACACTGGATGTCTGTCCTGTGAAAGAGTTGTACACGTTCAGTTTCTCCTCCCTTCCCTGGGTGTTATGAAAAGGCAATGGTCAAAAATTTCAGAAGTCCTCCACACCCACGTAGAACATTTGACTTCTCTTTTCAGAAGCTCTGGGCTCCTATGTTGGGATGTTAAGAGTTGCTTTAGCATTTTTCCAGTGCTCAGTTTACTGAGAACTGCTCTTTTTGGAAGGTCTCAGTGTCCCAGTGGGGTCTTGAGCATTCCTGTCTGGACAGCTCTGGCTCTCATGCATGGGTGGAAATGAAGCTGTTTATAAACCCAAGAAACAATACCATGTATGTGAACCTTGGCAGCTGTTGCCTGGCAAAAGCCAGACACCCACAACTTGAGCTGGAGATACATTTGTGTATTGAACCTGACAGTGTCTCATTTTATGGGCCAGAAAACAGAGTAAGGTTTCCTCAGTCTTTCATATCTGTCAC